GATCTGCAGAATCCAATATGCATAGAACATCTTCGTAGAAATGATCTAATCAATAGTTTTTTTTTAAAATTTGTCGATTTTCTATAAATCATTGATCGCATCAATTAAAAGCTGTTATGGAAGATTCTATCGTTATATTAAAGTACATAAAAATATGTTTAGATTCGCTGATATCGATACTTTCTATGCATATTGGATAATTCATTTATTAATTGTTAAAAATGATTTATTAACAATTTCATGTTAACAATTAATAATTAGAAATTCCCATCTCTAAATACACCTTAATGTTGGCAGCCTATAATAATATAGATAGTCTTTAACAGTATAGGCAATATCGACAATAATATCTATTATAAAAAAAAATTTACCATTTATAGTCTGAGACTGTCTTTGTCTCAACGATTTTGATCGTGATGGTGTACAACACTGTGTATACATACAGTACCATTAGTAATTGCATCTCATCTCACCAAATGAAGTTTACATCTTAGTGATTGAAAATTTAAGATTAGTAATTACGTAATACAATATATCCCAAAGGAGCTATATTTAATCATGAAATTTACATTTATCAAATTAATCGTTGAAACATTTCACTCAGTCATATCTGATACGTATTGACAATGATTCAAATTTTGCGAAAATTAAATATAACATCGTTTGATGTCATTATTTTGTTTTTACTTTCGTTCATAAGTTATATTATTTATCTCGTAATAAAGTATCCAGATCGTGCAATAGGAACAATTTCTAGGAAAGATCTCGTTGGACCTAAGGGTATTCCAATAATTGGAAATCTAATCTCTATCTTAAGAAGAAATACATATATTCAATACCAACAAGAATTGGCAAATAAATATGGTCCACTTTTGTATTTATTTATTAATTTTTTTTTTTTTTTAAAAAAAATAAGTATTTATACTACAGTATTGATAAAAGAAAAAAATATTCATTTCAATTTTTTTTTTTTTTTTAAATGAAAATAGCACAATTACAGTTTTTAAACATGGCCGAACTATTGTTTCAAATGATATACGAACAATAGAACATGTTTTAAAAAGTGAATATTTTTTTAAATTAAAGTTAATATGAATAATTTTTAATATTAATTAAACCTGTATATTTTAAAATTAAGCGGATTTTGATGAGTATGGAAAAAGTGATGACTTTTACGAAATAGGTTACGATGTATTTGGTGATGGAATATTTGCAGTTGATGGGTTTGTATCTTACTAAATATTATTACTTGAAATTAAGTTATTACTAAGTATAGTACACTAACTATGTATTACGTATAATACCTATTTAATATATATATATAATACCTATTTAATATATATATATAAAGTTACAAGTGGAAGTTTCAAAGAAGGATAATAAGTCACCTTTTTCTGGGAAAAAACTTTAGAGATTTGATTTATAAATCTGTAATTGAAAAATCTGAAGTCGTGATAAATATTTTAAAGAAGTATGCAGATAATGGAAAACCTATTGATTTACAAGACTTATTTTATAGATTTACGATGGATACTTTTGGAGTGTAATTTTTTCATTATATAATTTCTAATAAATAATTATTGTTAATTAGCTTCATTAATTAGTTTCGTTATTAATTTAATTTATGCTTTCATAAAATAATAGTATGTCGTTTGATGTAGATTTTGGATGTTTAACCCATCCTGAAGAAAAATCACAATTTGTTACAGATTTTGATTTCGCTCAAGATACTATATTTGAGAGATATGGAAGACCTTTTTGGAAATTTATAGAGAAATATAGTGAAAAAGGTCGAAAGATGCGTAAAGCCTGTAAATATATTGATGATTATGTATATAATATGATAAATAATCACAAATCTGAACTTGAAATTGAAAAGAAATCAGTTAAAAATTTGTTAACTTTGCTTATTGAGGCTGTTGATG